ACTCCGGACTAGCGAAGTCCGTCGTTTATAAGGTATTGTCGGTGCATTCATATTTATTATTCTTGTAATTTTTGCATGGGTAAAACTAATTTACTAAAAATTTTATTTACATTACGATCGCATGAAACTGACGCACATCCGTAGAGATAGGTATACCACATAGCAAATTTCAATTGTTCAAAGCTTTTGAAGAAAATAGACTTCTATATATATTTACCTTGTTCAGTGGATAAAAGTCGGTACAGTAAAATAAAAATGCGAACGGTTTTTGTAATTTTCCTAAAAAATTTGAAGTGCGTCAAAATGACTTAGTGAACCTAGTGTTAAAGCGTTTAAAACCCTCAATTGATATAAGGTCTGTCTTTGTATGTGGAATATCAAGATTTGTATGTGGAATATGTTACTTCGACAGTGAAAAACTGGAACACTATTTTCCCCGAATCGTGGAAAGAGAATTAGGTTACAGTCAATTTGTAAAAATCGTTACGTTGCTTTCGAACGGATTTACGGAAGAGAGTGAAGTTCTCTCGAGCCAGTTTCTGACCCAAAATTACGAATGCATTTTTCCGTTGTTTTCTGAACCGTAAATGGAACCAATCCGAAAGTACAGTAGGAATGACCGCTGTTGGCACCGGTTCGGTATTTAAACTCGAGTTTCTAGAAATAAATCACTTCCTAGCAGCTGTATGCCTCGTTACCTTAGCAAATGCAGCAAAGTTCAACGTTCTCGATGTTGATGCTTCGAATGATCTGCTAGATTATCAGAATAAAATGAGATCACTGTTTCGAATATTACGAGTAGACGCTTTAATTTATCTTATTTTATATATTGTACAATAAAATTGAAAACTTATAAACATTTGTTCTTGTCACTCGATCAGCTTGCCTGAATATGCAATATTATATAAGTATTCTCTTAAATATTAGAAATAATGTACGTTATGTTTAATTGTTATTTATATGTCTTCCAGTCATTCACTTGCTATGATCATATAACATTTGTATATTAATAGAATGCGTGAATGTGCTATAAGTGGATGTGAGAGTGGAATGAAAAGAGAGTGTTGCATAGAGACTTGCATCCTTGTCTACGCATGCGTATTAATGCAATAAATATGTGGTTAATATCGTCAGGACCTTATACGGCACGTATTCATTGCATACTGCTTGGTCAGGAAGCTGATATTACTAGTTTAACACATTTATCACACATATTCGACGTACAAATTTATAATTTATTTTTCATTTATTTATTAGTTTATAGAGACTCTATACAGGATGTCCTTCCTATTTGAATCAAAATTGACCTTTCTAACTTGAAAAGTGGTCCTACATCGGTGGCCATCAATGTTTGCCATTTTACTGTATACACTTACTGTTTGGACTACACAAGTTTCTATACAAAACGAATTTAATTGACAATTACAAAGTTTCTATAGAAGATTTTGCCGAGAATTGCGCGTTTTATGCAAAAAGAAATAAGCTCAGAGATCTAGAAAAAATCTCAAACCGGAGGTAAAAACGTAATAATCGAAATTGACGAAACAAAATCAGATGTCAAAGGACAATTTTTGGCGACATCGAATTCATTTATTAAACCAGCTGACAGATCTGAGGCTTCATTTTATGTAATTAAAAAATTGATTAAACCAAATTCAGTTATATCGGATTGATGGTAATCTCGTAACCGCGTGAGTGAAGGATATAAACATTTAACTGCGAACAGAATGAATTTCATCGATCCAGATAGTGGTGCACATACTCGAAACATCGAACGCTGTTAGCGTGAAACAAGAGCCAATATTCGACGATATGGAACCTGGAGAGCGTTATATCGGTTACGTTGCTGAATTTTTGTTTCGACAGAAGTATGATTCCTATACAATACATTCTTCGATGCTGTGGCATTTTTCCAATTTAATAATAAATTGAGAATGAAGTTTACTTTTCATTTAACTACTTTAAATTAATTTACAAAATAAATGACAAAAATAAAGTGTCGATGAAGTACAAGGGTGCAGAATGTGAAATATATTTTTCTTTTGTATTAAATAGTAAGTTTGCAAATAAAAATCAATTCATTTTCAACATCAATTCATTTTTAAATATATTCTTCTATTATATTAAACAGTAAGTTTGAAAATAAAAATCAATTCATTTTCAACATCAATTCATTTTTAAATATATTCTTCTATTATATTAAACAATAAGTTTGAAAATAGAAATCAATTCATTTTCAACATCAACTCATTTTTAAATATATTCTTCTATTATATTAAACAGTAAGTTTGCAAATAAAAATCAATTCATTTTCAACTAGTTCATTTTCTTGTACATTATTTATCCTTGTTCATTATTTTCAAGGACAGTTCCAATAACATTTTCTCTTACGTTCCTAATACTTTTTAGATTTATAATTTTACCTCACAGTGAACAACAAGTTTCAAAGTCATCAAGCTAAAAATTTTATTCCACGACATGAAATTTCCACCAGAATGAAATAAAGGTTACATACCGGTTCGACCCACTGAGAGATCCATCATTCGTAAGACTGGACGCAGAGCTGCTAGGTGTGAGGGGTTGCAACGACCTAGGCACGTCGTAGCAGTCTAAAGGCGTGACTCCCGATCCTCCAGAGCAGTTCGAGTTCGGAGTGCAAGATGTGGGTGGCCTTGGTATATCATAGCACGAGGGTGCAGGACTCGGACTGCTGGCTGGAGATGGAATCACGGGTACCGCACGTGGTGGCACATCGTAACATTCGCTCACGTCGCCACCGTTGTCCACCGAACTCCTGCTGCTCGTCGTGTACCGTCCTGGACAGAAATTCGACACAAGTTACACGAGTTGTGTCGGTATTCAACTTGGTAAGCTGATCGAGAGTACCTGATTGAGAGGAAGCTTCCGTTTACGCTTCAGGGTTTAACTTGCCAACAACCAATGACAGGTTGTAGGATTTATTGCAATATTCATGGTGCAGGGCTTGATCTGAAGGGAAAATTGTTGTACGAAACTTTGATATTAGTTAATAATGCGGATACTACGTGGGTTCTAGAGGTTGGTTCGTGTTTAACGGTTGTACATGCGATTATTGATTACTGTGAGATTAGTTAGGTTTGGGTTTTTCTTAGTTAGAAATGGTATTTAGGGTTATTGATGGAAGGCTATGTATTATTTGGGATTTTGAAGATTTGAGTATTTGGGAATTTGGACATTTGGAGATTTGAGAATTTGTGGATTTGGAAATTTGAGGGTTTGGGAATTTGAGAAGTTGGAAATTTGAAAGTTTGGGAATTTGAGAAATTGGAACCTTGAGAATTTGGAAATTTGAGAAATTGGAACTTTGAGAATTTGGAAATTTGAGAAATTGGAACCTTGAGAATTTGGAAATTTGAGAAATTGGAACCTAGAGAATTTGGAAATTTGAGAAAGTGAGGGGATTTGAGGATTTGGATGCTTCAGATTTGGGGACTTTAGAATTTGGGGATTTGAGAAATTGGGGTTTGAGGAATTGGACAACTTGAGAATTTGTGGACTTGGGAAATTGTAGTTTGAGGGTTTGGATGCTTCAGATTTGGGGATTTGAGAAATTGGAATTTGAGGAATTAGAATTTGAGAAATTGGAACCTTGAGAATTTGGTAATTTGAGAAATTGGAACCTTGAGAATTTGGTAATTTGAAAAATTGGAATCTTGAGAATTTGGTAATTTGAAAAATTGAAAAATTGAAAAATTGAAAAATTGAAAAATTGAAAAATTGAAAAATGGGAAAATTGAAAAATTGGAAAACTTGGGAATCTGAAAATTTTATAATCTAAATGCACAATCATTTATTTGACTCTCCTCCCATTAAACCAATATCTAAAAGAAAATAAATCTTCAAGAAATACCAGCAAACTTAAATTACGTTCTTGTGTTATTGTTAGCCATTCAATTACAACATGGCTGTCACTGATAGATACAACCTAAAGAATTTAATAATAAAAATAGAGAGTAGTACAATTTTGTTCTTTAGACTGGTGGTTCGAAAGCTCCTGAACGATTCTTATATCAATTTTTTGATACTGCGACTTCAACTTATTCGTACGACAGTTGCAATTCTCCTCGGTTTTCAAGCGGAATTACACATCGTCCCTTCCTTTTATCGAGCTAAAATTGATTTTATATGTCATTTGTATCGTGAAAAGATATCGTTCGAAACTTAAATCGATTTTATTGTAAGTTTGAAAGTGGCTTTTGTGAGGACAATTTGTTGTCAACGGAAAATATAAGGTTTTTATAAAACAATATATAAAAACTTATTTATAAATTGTATGGACTTAGGCCACTTTCAAAATAAACTCATATATAAACATTTTGTTATAAAAGATCTGGGACACGTTGTATAGTATGGTGGTGAAAGGAAGAATCCCTGATGACGTGGTTTTCGATCAGGCAAGTGGCCTTGAGTGACCTATCGATTTTTTAAATGCAAAATAATTAGCACACAGATAGTTGCTGACAATAATTATGAAACAGTCATCAAGGTAAACATCTTAACGTAATTAATGTAAATGTCCCAGTGGTCGAACTAAAAAAGTAGTTAAGATAATTTCAATTACATTCGTATTCAGAAAATATAAAATTATAATTGAATACGTATATTCGAAAGGTTAAGATTTTTATTTTCAGAAGTAGTAACAGGAATTTTGTGAAGGAATTTTTGAACGAAATCAAAACTGCACTACAGTGTGTGACAAGTGTGTTCTCTTATAGAATATATTGAAATCAAGTTAAATTATAATTTTTTTCAAATATACAGGATGATTCTAGGAACTGGTTTTTGATGATTAAATTTTTCCTAAAGATATGCTTTAACTTTGATAATTTACTTTTTCGAAAATTCACAAAATATGTAATTTCCAAATGTTTCCAATATCGTATTAGTGCAAAGAGGTGCACGGTGCCTAAACTTGGCGTTACCTTTTATTTACATGTAATGTACTTTTGTGGGATTTGTTAATACTCATAAAACGTGGTGAAGGCAAAAAAAGTGCGAATCAAAACATATGAAAACGATCATTCAATTGAAACGGTGAGGGAGTCAATAGAGTGAGCCAAGGCGCTATGTAATCTACGATGACGTTCGCGAAAGTCACTATAATGAACCGTCGTACAGAGAGACGGTATCCGCGAAAGCCACTATAGTGGCGCATTGTGCTTAAGAGGTTAAGTGTCGAGGGTCACGTCCATCTTGATTAGTAGATTTATAAGTTTGGACATTCGTCATCTTGGGAGATCGAAGAATCGAAAATTTGAAAATTTAAAAACTTAGTAACATGAAGATTCGAAGATCTGCAGGTTTAGAAATTTAGGGATTCAGAAATTGAAAAATCTAAGATTCGGTGATTTAAAAATGAAGAAATTTGAAGTTTAAAAATTTAAATCCTGGCGAAACGAAGTCGCATTTTTCCACATTTTTGGAAACCATCTGTCCTTGTCTCTCCTAACCAAAACATCATAAACGAATGCTAATCACCGAATCTCGTTTGAGTACCAAAGGATTTACCTTATGTATGTACTTTTACGAAGTAGCCATTAACGGTTTGTTTCAGTATGGAAATGGTATCCGCGATACCGTCGTTTCATAAAAAAGAATTCCGGTAGGAGTATCAGCATTCTATCGATTCTCAATAAATGCTTTCTATGGAAAGCCCGTTTTCAATTGAACATCAATGAACAGAAGTTTAATAGTCGATTAAAGCGAATTAAAGAAACGATCGGATGCAAGGTAACTTAATGAGCTTAAAACCATCTGGTAAAGCATTTTCGTCTCACGATATAATTTCACAGACGTCTGTCTTCTTGTACTACAAATTTTTTTGTTAAACGTAAAATTCTTTTGATTAACATCATTTTAGCTGTTTTATTTCTGTTGCCTTTGTGACTGTATTCGTCAAAAAAAGTTAACTGATCAATTTTTTAACTCAAAGTTTGTTATACAGTTGCGTCATAGTTAACTAATTATTAGTATCAAAAGAAATGAAGGAAGTTAAAATATTGATGCTTGATTATACAAATTATGATTTGAATTGAACTAAAAATTCAACTACAATCAAAATACGAATTTGTTTTATCACATTCTAACTATAGGTTGCAAAACGAATGTGACATCACAGAGCAAGACATTAATGAATTAAAAATCGATCTGTCAGTGAACTTTGTGCTTTTGTAACATGAAAAACTGAATGAAGATTACGAATGCATATCGATGCGTACAAAAAAGTATTAATTATTCTGTCTGCGTTAAAATCGTTATTTTCTTTGGCGCACGTGTGCTGAAACAGCATTCGTATAATTAATAAAATATGGATGGATGTGAAATGTGATTTTGTATGAAACGAAAGTAATATACGAGATCGTGTTGCTGAAAATTCAATGAATTTTGTATGACATCTGCTATCGGAATGTTGCCGTCAATCTTTCTGTTATTACAAAAGTGTTACCTGTTATTCAAAATGCTGTCTGTTATTCAAAATTCGAAATTTCAAAGTTAATACGAGACACAAGAAATTTGTAGAGATTCAAATCCAGAGATTTAAAGATGGATTTGGAAATATTCGTAAGAAAATTGTTGCCTTCAGCGATAAACCTGGTACAGGCAAAGCACGAAACGTAAAAATTCGACTGCCGCCAGCCACTGACAAAATGTGAACGCTGCCTAACTCTTGCGAAATTTTATTGAAGTCACCGTGAAACATTCGTAACAACGGTGCAAACGAGTCGCAGGAGAGTAGAACGAAGGGTTGTTACATACCTGAGTTGTGCAAATGCTCGTTATTCGAGTTCAAGGGTGAATCGTGCCTCGAGGGTGGTGCAGGACTTGCCCGACTCGCTGGAAGATCGTAAAGGTATACGTCGCCGCACTTCTGCGGAGTTACCACCTGCGCAAAAAGATCAAAGACTGGTTAATTATTGCTGAATTATCGAAAAATCACTCGCGCATCCCTCGTAACAAGCCGAAGTCTCGGTTTAATCAGTTTTAAGTACTTCGATATTTCCACATTTTTATGGTGAATTTGTACAAAATGAAATATAATATAGGGAAGGTTTAGAAATTATTTAGTTGTATTCAATTGTAAAAATACACATTTTTACACCACATTTTTATGGTGAATTTGTACAAAATGAAATATAATATAGGGAAGGTTTAGAAATTATTTAGTTGTATTCAATTGTAAAAATAATAAAAAATAACAGAGTTTAATGCGTTGAGTAGTTAAACTTAGTGTCTCACTAATCCACCTTCAAAATTTCAAGATGAAAATCATAAAATTGCTGTCTGTAGTGTGCAGACAAACAAACAAATGCAGATCGAGTCCTATAAGCTTCACTACGTCCTACAAAAATAGGATCAGCAATCTTCTAAAACATGAAATTCACTGATCAGAAGTGCTGCACAAGGGTGCCTAAGCAAGATCCAACAGCCACTGAAACTTTAAACAAAAGTACTGTCCCTGGCCATCGAATTAGGACCACGTACGAAAATTTCACTTTCATGACTATAACATTATATCACATACGGAAAATCTTAGGTCAAAATTATTACTAAATACGATGATAACGATGTATACATAGCAATTTACTATGGTGATAATAAATTGTGTGATGAGCGATTAAGGGCCGTGCGTTTACGTTAGGAGTATCGATAGCGCTAGAGGTGAAATTTGAATGGCACAGAAAATGTCTGCCTACTCAAAAGACTAGTTTACAACTCTCCACAGTATCTGAGTTGAAAAGAATTACAGATATTTGGGAAAATAACGAAGAAAAGCATATGATCAATGTATGAGCCACAAACTGTGACCCTAGCGAAGGAAATACAAGATATGTGTTGATAATGTTAGAGTAGTTATGTTAGTGGCTTATAAATATTACAATTTGAACAGGCCCTTAATTTTACGGAAACGTGAAAAATTCTGAAAATTTATAATGGTAATTCGATGGCGGGTGACTGTAGTACTAGCTAAAGAAATAAAAATTTTTTAACTTTATTCTAAATTACAAAATAAGTTTGCATTCTGAGCTGGTAGGTTCAGTGTTTACGTAACAGTTTATAAAAAGAATGCAACAAAAAACATATAGAACGTTGTAGAAAGAATGTAATAAAAATATTATCAACATATAAAAAGTTGTAAAAGGAATGCAACAAGAAACTGTACCAACATATGTGCACACATAAAACTGTTTTATTTTTTTTTTTTTTTAATTTAATAAGATTTTACGGTAAAATAGAAAGGTAAGTTTATTCGTAATCCTCAATTTTCACAGGTCAGCAATCCATAAAGGTACGCTCGTAAAATTGTCGACATTAATCTGTGCCGCCTATAAACGCGTGAACTGTGAAATCCTTTTAAATGAACGGGGGCAGAATAAAACGTTAATTGAAACGGTCTGTAGTGTACAATTAAGCACTGGTTCGATTTTTGTTCGAAATTTGATTTTCACCAGAGATACGTCAAGCATCCTCTCGCAACATTAATATACAATTCCTTACATGAGTGAAATCAGTAATTAAAAGTTGTTGAAATTGTAAAATGTGAAGTGTATGTTCAGCTAATACATATATTCGAATTTGAACATTTTTAAGTTTATGAATTTTTGTATTCTGGTGTTTGCACATTGTCGAGCTTTCAAATTTTAGGGTCTTTTAATTTTTGAATTTGTAATTTTTGTAATTTTTGGATTTTTGGATTTCTAGATTTCTAGATTTCTAAATTTCTAAATTTCCAAATTATAGATTTCCAAATTCCCAAATTTCCAAGTTCTAAAATTTCCAAGCGCCCAAATTTCCAAGCTCTCAAATTTCCAAGCGTCCAAATTCCCAAATTTCCTAATTTCCAAGCGCCCAAATTTCCAAGCTCTCAAATTTCCAAGCGTCCAAATTCTCAAATTTCCTAATTTCCAAGCGCCTAAATTCCTAAATTTCCAAATTTCCAAGCGCACAAATTCCCAAATTTCCAAGTTCTAAAATTTCCAAGCGCCCAAATTCCAAAATTTCCTAATTTCCAAGCGCCTAAATTCCTAAATTTCCAAATTTCCAAGCGCTCAAATTCCCAAATTCCCAAATTTCCAAGTTCTAAAATTTCCAAGCGCCCAAATTCCTAAATTTGCAAATTTCCAAGCTCTCAAATTTCCAAGCGCCCAAATTCCCAAATTTCCTAATTTCCAAGCGCCCAAATTTTCAAATTTCCTAATTTCCAAGTGCCTAAATTCCTCAATTTCCAAATTTCCAAGCGTCCAAATTCTCAAATTTCCAAATTTCTAATTTTCCAAATTCCTAAATCGTTGAAACCCTAAATTCCCAAACTCGTAGGTCACCAAACCCGTAAGTCCACAACTTCCTCCATACTTAAATTTTCAAACCCCAAATTTCTATATTCCCACATCTATAAACTACGAAATCGCGGTCCTCAAATTCTTCACCCATCACCAAAAATTCCCCAAAATTCATACAATATCAACTTCAAAATTCCTCCAAATCAATGCGATAGTTCCTGTATTCGCTGGAGAAGGCAGATCTGACTGTACATAATCCTTGTTCACCAAACATCATCATTACTCGATCAATAATAGTTCGGAGGTGCAGCAACAACACGAAAGCAGCTCGTTAAACGCTTCCACAAGGTTTGCTCAAAATCAGAAATCACGCGAATCTTTGATCTGCGAAGAGCAGCCGACTCACTTCACACGATACTGCAAACATTACGAATATATGCGCAAAGGACTCTCATTAGCGATATTCTAGTTCGCCGCCAGCCATATACTGAAAGCTTGTTCGTGCTTTCGCATCCACGCAATCCTGTCGATGTACACGCGACAGGCTTCAGGCATTTTGTTCGCTTATTGCGGATCCTTAATTGAATACTTTATTGAAAACAGGTACTCGAAGTTTGAGAACAGTGAAATACACTTGTGTGCACGCCATGTTGCACGGGATTGCAAATGGCTGAGTTATACTTAAATTTTAAGAGATTTTAATGAAGAGATTAAATTATTTACAGATGTTTAATGACCATTCAGATTTGAAATTAAATACAGTTGCATATTATGTGAGCTTATACAATGATTCTCTGTCTCAAGGGAGGTTAAGGGGGGTAATACCTTTAGACAGATGAAAATAAGCTGATATTTGTGAATTTTTTTTGTATAGGACACCTTTGTTTTGCATTTTCGAAATTTCAGGTATAATTTATTATAACGATTGCCAATTACAGAATATTTTCTCTTTTGCAAAATATTTAAAAATGTCGGAATTATGACAATCCTTTCTGGAAGTATTTCGGCGTGTCTCGTGAATTAGCGTGGGTTCTAGCTTTAGATATATTGGTCTGAAGCAAGTTTGCAGACAG